TGAATGAATTTCCGATAGTACCCTATCAATCTCAAGAAACTATAAATCTCGGTGGGTGTTCTCGGTACTTCCCATCTCTCAATGGCCTCAATCTTGCAGGATCCACTTTTACTCCTGTTTCAAAAACAACATGACCTAAAAATTGGACTTCCCTCAACCAAAATTCACACCTGGACAACTTTGCGTACAATTTCTCCTTCTTCAAGAGTTCGAGAATTAAACGAAGATGTTTGGCATGCTCAGCTTTTGATTGTGAGTATATAAGTATTGTCGATAAATACAATAACAAATTTTTCAAGATATTTATTACATACTCTATTCATCAAATCCATGAATGTTGTTTGAGCATTTGTCAGTCCGACCGACATGACCAGGAACTCATTATGCCCGTATCTAGTTTATCCTCGTCTCTGACTTTCAACTGATGATACCCAAACTGCAAATCGATCTTGTAGAAGTAACTTGCCCCAACTAGTTGATAAAACATGAGAGTCCAATATGATCAATCTTCAAGCAATCTTCTATGAATCAATGGAAATCTTCAAGAACACTCAAGAACATGAGAAGGATAGTTGAGAGAGAAAGTCAATGAAGTCAAAGCTCTTTTATTACTCAAAATGTATACGTATGATTTACAATCAAGTTCTTACAAAATCACTAAAGAACAAAGCCTTATATAGGGTTAAAGATGAACCCTTCTAAGTCAAAGTCAAATATTACACAAAGTCAAACACGATGTCTATTTTACAATTATAGAAAACATTAACTTTCTAGACGAATACAATTTAACACCGATTTTCAGTCCTAACATTGTCACCCTTTGTATTTAGGCTTGAAAGAATTTACGTGTTTTGAATTTCGTTTGAACTTTGTCGCTTTAAGCACTCTATGACTTCTTCAAAAAAACTTCAAAACAATCTTCACTTTGAAAACTTCAGATGATCGTTTGTTGAGAAAATCTTCTAACATTCTCCCCCTCGAATGTAGAACAACAACGATCTTCTCTTTTGACTATGTAGAACAAAATCAACAATAATCTTCAGAAACGATCTTCAAAGAATCTTCTTCAGAAAACAGATAACTAACATTCTCCCCCAAAAAAATGAAATTCTTCAAATAACGAAAAAGCATTCTCTTCGATGAGAAATCTCTATCAGTAAACTTTTGAAACGTTGATCTTCATATTCAAAAACTCTCAAACATTTTAGCACAGGAATAATCTTTAGTAATAATCTCCACTCATACTCCTTTTGAGTCTTTTGCCGACTTTGATGTTACTCCTCCTTGATCTTTATAACATATTCCCCTTATAACGTACGGAATTGAACATTTCATTCATTATTTCATACTTCCCCTTATGATGAAATGAGAATCATTAGCATCATACAACATAATGAATGAAATTTTCAGTGAAAGCCGTCAATTCAGAAAAATGTAAGCAGATCTATTCAAATCCACTTGTATAATCTTTTCAGATTAAGGGAATAGGAAGGTAACAACCAATTTCAACTTATGAAGTTGTAATCAATCTTATAAAAAGATTGGCCTATGAGTATAACAGATATACTCAGTACAACGGATGTACTTTATATATGAGACTTTGTAAGGTTCATCTCACCAGGTCTTTCATTCAATCATTGATATCTTATAAAAGTATATCTATGAATGTTTCGGCAAAATAACATATAAAATGCAATTTGTGTAGTGTAGAAAGATAATGCAACATATGCTTCCGTTTAGGCTCAAAATGATAAACCGTGTGGACTACACAAATTCATCTGACTCAATTAGTGATCAAAAAGACATGAAGGGGGGACATATATCCTTCTGTTTCAATATCAATTTTCTCCGAATGAGAAACTGATAGATTGTGAGCTGCGTGCCCCAAGTGTTATTGAAACACTTATCTTTTAAGAGATAAATGAGTAGCTGGTGGGGTTGTGACAAGAATTGGCCTGGGCTTTGCCTTTTTCAATATTTGTCTCGAAAGAATTGAGAACTAATAGATTTCGTGGTATGCCCGGTAATTTGAAGTTTTCTTGATCCCAGATCTCTCAATAACACTAATAATCTAGTTATGAGTAACCAAATTATAGTGATTTAATGAAGAAAGTTATGAACTCTCAAGAATAAAATAAGAAAGTTTAAGAACAATTTTGAGCTTCAAAG